CATGGAAACGCAGTTTACCTTCCCGCCAGAGCGGTACCTATTTATCTACTTGCACTTTGTGTTTTCGAATTGCTAGGTTGGCAGGAGCAAGGACCGAGCAACGGGAGCTCACCCCGTGGCGAGAATTCGAACCGCCAACCTTCTGATCAGCAAGTCCTAGGCTCTGTGATTTAACCCACAGCGCCACCCGCGTCCCAGATACACTTCCAGAGTTCATGCTAAATATGTTACTTCGGCTGCATGAGCCACCATTGCCACTAGAGGGACATGAAAATTTGTGTCCTGGGCTTTTTAGACTCCTCTACCCATGTACTATCTGAAACCAAAACAATGCATTGGTTGCCAGACATGATTCCCCCCCCAGCTCTCCTACCCCAGTAGAAAGAGAACCTCTTTTAAATACAAAAATTTTTAAAAAAATAGTGATTTGGATACTGCAGATTTGTCTAAGGGTGCTGCCCTTTGAGACTAAAAATATTTGGGCCTCAGGGTTAGAGACGATGGCTGTGTATACACTATGTGTTTAAAGAAAAAATGGCTCTCAGACCCTCAAAAATATCCTGGGAATAGTAGTTTGTTAAGGGTGCTGGGAACTGTAGTTCTGTGATGGATAAACTACGTTTTCCAGGATTCTTTGAGGGAAAGCATGTACAGTGGTACCTCGGGTTAAGTACTTAATTTGTTCTGGAGGTCCGTTCTTAACCTGAAACTGTTCTTAACCTGAAGCACCACTTTAGCTAATGGGGCCTCCCGCTACTGCCACGCCGCCGGAGCACGATTTCTGTTCTCATCCTGAAGCAAAGTTCTTAACCCGAGGTACTATTTCTGGGTGAGCGGAGTCTGTAACTTGAAATGTATGTAACCTGAGGTACCACTGTAATTGAAATCTATGGTGTGTATGCAGCTGTCAGGCAGCAGAGGAACCAATTCCCACAGCAGGTTGCCAGGAATGGATAAGACAAGGAAAAATCTTTACCACCTGCTTTTTATTCACAGAGAGGCTTGGGAAAGCAGCCTCTTTGAATAGTGGTATTTTCCCAAGTGATTCTCCACTCGCTTTTTCTCCCACTTCCTCTTTCGTCATCCCTTCTACAGGTGGCGCTGAGGGCCCTTTCCTTCTGAGCCCTTTGCTCTCCTACTTTCTTCCCCTCCCCCCAATAAATTTTTATTATTTTCTTTACACATTCCTTGTTACAGTACATTAATCAACCTATAAACCTTATGCTCTGCCAAGCTTGCGACTTCCCTCCCTCCCTTCAGTTGGTATCCCTTATCACATCCTGTCGTGTATTTTATCTTTTTACACCTACCCGTATTTTTTGCTCTATAAGACTCATTTTTTCCCTCCTAAAAATTAAGAGGAAATGTGTGTGCGTCTTATGGAGCGAATGCAGGCTGCGCAGCTATCCCAGAATATTTTTTTTCTTGTTTTCCTCCTCCAAAAACTAGGCGGGTCTTGTGGTCTGGTGCGTCTTATAGAGCGAAAAATATGGTAAATCATCTTGTCCACATTGTAGGAGTTACTTCAATCCTGCTAAGTTTTAAGTTTTTACAGTCATTTAAATACACAATATATTCACGCCAATTTTTCTGGAATCTTCGATCGTCCTGATCTTGAATCCTGCTGGTCAGTTTGGCTAACTCCACATTGTCCGTCATTTTCGTCTGCCATTCCACAATGGCAGAAACTTCTTGTGATTTCCAGTTTTGGGCCAACAAAGTCCTTGCCGCAGCTGTGGCATACATGAATAATCTTTGATCTTTTGTCTTAATCTCCCTTCCCTTCAGGCCAAGCAAAAAAGCCCCTGGCTTTTTAGGGAAAGTATATTTTGTAAATCGACTCCCAAAATGTCTTTACTTTATCACAAGTCCACCACATGTGATAATATTCACCATCCACCTCTTTGCACTTCCAACATTTGTTATCCCTCTTCCTATACATTTTTGCCAATTTTGTCGGCATTAAATGCCACTTATAAATCTTCTTTCAGAGCCGTACATGCCATAAATTTCATACTTTCATTCCATAATTTTATCCATGCCTCCAATTCAACGTTATGACCAAAATCTATAGCCCATTTTATCCTCGCTTCTTTCACTTCCTCATCTTTTGTAAACCATTCTAACAACAAATCATACATCCTGGATAGTGTTTTACCTCTGCCTTCTATCAATTCTATTTGAAATATTTATTTTTTTATCCTCAGACCCAACTTTCATCTTGTCCTCATTCAGTATATCATTTACCTGCTGGTATTTGCTCTCCTACTTTCAAGGCTTGCTGGGTTCTGGGAGGGTGGGGTCTAGAATGCTTTCTCAAGACACTGTGTCCATCAGCTGTTGCCCTCCTGGTGCTTAACTTCCTCCTCCTCTCCCATTATTTGCCAGCCTTCCCCCTCATCTGCCTCTGAGCTGTGACCTCCCTCAAACCCCTGTTGTAATTCTTAACTGTCTTCTTCTCTGGGAGAGTCAAGCTGGGGAGGCCGTCTCCACCATTCCTCCTCTGCCCAGTCTCTGGCAGCAGCCCATGGAAGCTTTTGAGAGCTGCAGGGCTTTATGAGCAGAGGCAGGATAACATGGTAGACGTGATGGTGGCAAAGGGGTATTTCTTCTGGCCTTGCAACACACTCTGGGTGTATTCACATTACAGCCTTAGTGTCAGTAAAGTTGTTATTCCCCCCCCCCCACAGTGTGTTTCACAAATCTTCCCCACCCTAACTGTTCACACCGTAGCTTCAAACCATTTATGTTTTCATTGTCCTTTCTGTTAGAATATAGTGGTACCTCGGGTTACAGATGCTTCAGGTTACAGACTCCGCTAACCCAGAAGTAGTACCTTGGGTTAAGAACTTTGCTGCAGGATGAGAACAGAAATCGTGCGGCGGCAGCGCAGCAGCAGCAGGAGGCCCCATTAGCTAAAGTGGTACCTCAGGTTAAGAACAGTCTCAGGTTAAGAACAGACCTCCAGAACGAATTAAGTTCTTAACCCAAAGTACCACTGTAATGAGGAACACGGGTGGCGCTGTGGGTTAAACCACAGAGCCTAGGACTTGCTGATCAGAAGGTCGGCGGTTCGAATCCCCATGATGGGGTGAGCTCCCGTTGCTCGGTCCCTGCTCCTGCCAACCTAGCAGTTCAAAAGCATGTCAAAGTGCAAGGTACTGCTCCGGCGGGAAGGTAAACAGCGTTTCTGTGCACTGCTCTTGTTCGCCAGAAGCAGCTTAGTCATGACGGTCACATGACCCGGAAGCTGTATGCCGGCTCCCTTGGCCAATAAAGCGAGTGCCGAAACCCCAGAGTAGGCCACGACTGGACCTAATGGTCAGGGGTCACCTTTACCTTTAGCTTACCACTGTAATAGGGGCATGGTTTGGGGCTTCATAATCTCTTATTCCAGCTTTATATAGCTGTACGTGGCTAGTCTTCCACATGACTAGAAGTCTGTGTGTGCTGTACACATGTAATTTTCCCTTTTCCGCCAATTTAACTGGCTTTGTCCAAGAGGCCTTGAGTTTTACCCAAGGACTAACCACATCCCTTTCTCTGCATGTTTCTATCTCTCAGGATGCCTTTGTGAGGCAATGCAGCAAGAGAGACGCCAGCTGCGAGTGGAGCAATAATATTGCCCCATTGCTACCGCACCAGTGCAACTTTCAGACAAATGTTTTAAGGCACTGACCTTAATGCCACATATTAGCTAGCAAGGGAGGGCTCTGGCAAGTGAAATGCTTCCCCACCCCCATATGGAAATTAAAATATCAGTATGCCCACATGCGGGACGCGGGTGGCGCTGTGGGTAAAAGCCTTAGCGCCTAGGGCTTGCCGATCGAAAGTTCGGCGGTTCGAATCCCCGCGGCGGGGTGCGCTCCTGTTGTTCGGTCCCAGCGCCTGCCAACCTAGCAGTTCGAAAGCACTCCCGGGTGCAAGTAGATAAATAGGTACTGCTTTATAGCGGGAAGGTAAACAGCGTTCCGTGTGTTGCGCTGGCTCGCCAGAGCAGCGATGTCACGCTGGCCACGTGACCCGGAAGTGTCTGCGGACAGCGCTGGCTCCCGGCCTCTTGAGTGAGATGGGCGCACAACCCTAGAGTCTGTCAAGACTGGCCCGTACCGGCAGGGCTACCTTTACCTTTACCTTTTTATGCCCACATGACGTCAAGCTGTCAGCTGCAATGTTTAAAATCCTGTCTCATCCACAGCTTGTTATGGTCAAAAAGGCTTGTATTCTTCTAAATGCACTTTCTCATGCTTTGAGAGTAAATCCTTCAAGCCAATATATCTTACTCTTCTTGACATACTCCATTAAGCCTTCAATGATCCATGCATCTCCCAGCTTTCATGTATGGCTGTATTTTTCTAGCGTTGCATTGTCCTCACAAAGGAATTGATGGTTCCAATCTGATCTGATTTTACTTATGACAGTTTGCAAAAAAAAGGAAAGAGGGAGAAGGGGGGGGCTCCCTAAAGGAAAGGATGTAGGACTAGATTTAAGATGGGATGGGCAGTTTCCCTGCACAAATTAATAATAAATAAAAAGGCACATTTGTGTGTGTGTGCTAAATAAAAAAAGGAATTATTGTGAAAATAAGAAATGTTTAGCGGGGGCACCAAATTTTGTCCTCGCTCAAGGCACCATATTACTAAAGGCCACACCCCTGAATTACTGCATCCAAATGTGAAAGAGAATAATTGTGTCGCTCAGAGACATGAATGTGACAAGATCTGTTCCCCAACTTCTAATAGGTCCTTTTGACTATGGCTGATGTTGTCACAGACTCACATAATCCCCAGCCAACATGGTCAATGATCAGTTAGGCCCCTAGGTTGGGAAAGGCTAACTCAAGCATCCCTTAAACAACATGGCCCTTGCCCGCTCTCCTCTTCTCTCTGCAAGACTATGCACCCTTACTTTGGAGTAAGGCACAATTGAATTCAATAGGACTTACTATGGGGTGAGCTGCATTGAACAGCTGCGATCATATGCATGCTTATTTGTAATAAACCCCATTGGAATTTTGTGGCTCAGTTGGTTAGAGCATGGTGTTGGTAATGCCAAGGTTGCAGGTTTGATCCCCATATGGGACAACTGCATATTCCTGCATTGCAGGCGGTTGGACTAGATAATTATTAGGGTCCCCGATTCTACCATTCTATGAGTCTATAACTCCTGCACATGCAGGCCTAGCATCTGAAGGCATGTGACTTGTGTTTCTGAAAACTCTCTACTGTCACAAGACGCTTCTTGCACATTTTCCCCAGCGGTGTTCTGCTAGCTAGGCTTTGTCTCTGATGCACAGAAAATATTGGGTAAAGTATGTAGATATTCAGGATAAACACACACACACACACACGTATGTTATATTTATTCTGCTACAATATATACAGTTGCTGCTACAGTAAAAACCTTAAGATGTCCTTGTTTAATCCTGCGTTAGAGAGGAAATAAATATGAATAGCAGCGTCTGATCCACAAGACGGGCAGGATCCACTCCCACGTGGAATTTCTCTCTCTCCTGTATCAGTGTGCCTTCTAGGGAATATCCTGTGGCTCCTTGCAGCGCTTTCATTTTCTAGCAAGAGTAATCCTCTGCACAGACAGAAATAAGCGAATTGGATCTGACAAGGTTGGAAGCCTCAGCGTGCCTACTCAAAAGTAAGCCCCATCGAGTTCAACAGGACTCCTTCCCAGGTAACTGCAAAGCGCTTGCCTAAACTCGATGGGGGCTTTCCCTTGGGCTTGCAAAGAATGAGCCGCGCAAAGCAAATCCGGCGCAACAGCGCTTGCATCCTCAGCAAGATTTTTAAAAATGAAATAAAAGCAATACCCGGCGGCACGTGTCTAGCCTAGTCAGTCGGAAGAGGACTATAATTCCCAGCAAGCTCCGGGTGAAGGAGGAGGTCCCTGGCTCTTGCTGGGGGGCGGGATCGTCTCCTGCGCCGATTCTGCATGGGCGGCGGAGGACTGCTGGCCGCGGCCATTGGAGGGTCTCCAGGCGCCGTTCCCTTTGCGCTGCTTCTCTTGCCGCTGCCGGCGCCCCCATGGCTACAGCGTCGCCCTTGAAAGTCAGCATCGTGGGCTCTGGAAACTGGTGAGCGCAGGTGGGGGGCGCGATCCGCCCAGAGGCCATCGGGGCCCCGAGAGGAACCTGCGCTTCCTGGTCCTCAGCCCTTGTTGCTTAGGATGCGCGGGTTATAGGGGCGCAGGCAGGGGTGGAGAATCAGGCGTCTCCTACTCCTCTGGATCGAGGTCTGTTTTTCCTAACAAAGAATTCCCTGCAAAATAATATATGCAGCTGTCACGAACCGTCATCCTTGTTCTACTTCCTTGTTGGGCGGGAATAGGCGACACCCCTGATCACCCTTTTGCAAATCTCCTTTTTTTCTGAATGGCAACTATCCCCCCCCCCCCCCAACAGTTAATCGCACGTGCGTCAGGTTTGCGGTTCGTTTTAATACCTCGAGACTGGGCCTGATCACCCGCTAATTTCCCCCCTCTTTCTTGTCCTCGCCCTGGCTTAGGATAGTGGAAGAATGATGGCGTTATTCTAAAGGCACCGATGACGGTTCTCTAGTTTGGGAGGGTTTTCTCAAGGCAGGTGGGCAGGACGCACGCCACCAGAGAACAGCCCACAAAACTCCCATGCACTCAGCGAGAACTCGGGTCCATGCAACGCCAAAAGGGTGCCATCCGTAGAATAATAGAATTGTAGAGTTGGAAGGGACACTGAGGGTCACCCAGCCCATCCGCATGCAATGCAGGAATCCTTTGCCCAACGTGGAGCTCAGACCGACGACCCTAAGATTAAAGAGTCCATGCGCAAGAGAGAAATACCTCTCCAAGGTTTGTGGAAGTACAAATGAATGGGGTTGTGAGGCGGGGAAGGTAGCTCAGAACAGCTTGATGAAGTCTAAGCATGCTGTGGTTGCAGAATGCTGACTGTTTAGGGAACCAACATGGGTAAACCCATGGGTAAAAGGGACCCCTGACTATTACGTCCGATCGTGGCCGACTCTGGGGTTGCGGCGCTCATCTTGCTTTATTGGCCGAGGGAGCCAGCGTACAGCTTCCGGGTCATGTGGCCAGCATGACTAAGCCGCTTCTGGCGAACCAAAGCAGTGCATGGAAATGCCGTTTACCTTCCCGCCTATTTACTTACTTGCACTTTGACATGTTTTCAAACTGCTAGGTTGGCAGGAGCAGGGACTGAGCAACGGGAGCTCACCCGGTCGCAGGGATTCGAACCGCCGACCGTCTGATCGGCAAGTCCTAGGCTCAGTGGTTTAACCCACAGCGCCACCCGAAACGTTGACAGCTATGTGAACCCATGACCTCAAGATTAAGAGTCGCATGCTCTACTGACTGAGCTATCCAGCTACACATATGTAACATATATATTTTTGCAGGACTCACTTGTTACATATGCTTTACATGCATATTTTATTCTTCCTCCAAGGGTGAAGTGAGTGGTTCTGTTCTCTCCCTCCATTTTATCCACACAGCAGTCCTGTTCTGCTGAAAAATAGTCACTGACCCAAGACCACCCAGTGAACTTCATGTTGGAGATGGGATTTGAACCTCGTTCTCCTGGGTTCTGGTCCAGTATGCTAACTATTGCACCACAATGGCTCCTTTTGCATGACAGTGCCTAGTCCTTCCAGCAGTTGTGCTTAAAGCTTTCAGATGAATGTGTGCTAGATATTCTGCAAGATGACCATGTTCCTGCTTCCTGTGTCCCACAACGCCTTAAATACTCCGCTTAGAAACCAGAAGTGTCTGTTTCAGAATGCTACTTATTTCCCCTGTCAGTAACAAACTTTGTCCTAAGTTCCTCTTGTCTACCACCTGAATGTGGCTAAAAAACACATTCTGGTTCGCCTGGGTTCTAGTCATCCGCTGAACCACAGTGGCTGTCATTCCTTTTGCACGATGCCTGTTGCATATAGATATTTCCACTTTTCATGCTGCATTAAGAAGAATACCTTTTGCTCTGGAAAGTATTACCTGTAGAACTCCCTTTGCTCACCTTTGTCTTCATCCTTTCACGGAATATGCACGGAGGGAGAGAATCACACTAGCTGGTTCCACTTCCCCCACTCCCAACCTCTGCAGAACAGACAAAGTTGAGGCTGCACATGGATAAATGCTCAATTTACTTACACGTGCATGGAGTCTGTATTCAGGACTGGGAGACCTAGCCCTGTTCTCCCTGTTGTCTGAACAAGTGGAAGGAGAAGGGGAACATGCTATCCAGCCCCACCCTCTGCGCATTCAGCTGAAGTTTGCCTTCTGGGCTTTCATCCGCAGGTGTGTCATTGGTGAGGGTGAGGCTCCTGTGACTGACTGCAACAAGTAGCCAAGCCTTTAGTGTCACCTGTCGATAGAAATTCCGCACGCGCCTTCTCTGTGTCAGCTTTTAAATGCCTGCTGCGCTTATGCAGGCATTTCACCTTTCCATTAGCTGACTTTTGATTTTAACGCTTTTGTATCCCATATTTTGTACCCATATTTTGTATGGGTAGGGACAGGGGTGGCGCTGTGGGTTAAACCACAGAGCCTAGGGCTTGCCGATCAGAAGGTCGGCGGTTCGAATCCCCACGACGGGGTGAGCTCCCGTTGCTCAGTCCCTGCTCCTGCCAACATAGCAGTTCGAAAGCATGTCAAGTGCAAGTAGATAAATAGGTACCGCTCCAGTGGGAAGGTAAACGGCGTTTCTGTGTGCTGCTCTGGTTCGCCAGAAGCGGCTTAGTCATGCTGGCCACATGACCTGGAAGCTGTATGCCGGCTCCCTCGGCCAATAAAGCGAGATGAGCGCCACAACCCCAGAGTCGGTCACGCCTGGACCTAATGGTCAGGGGTCCCTTTACCTTTACCTTTTTATGCCAGGTGGGTGGGGTACAATTATTATTATTATTATTATTATTAAGCTTAGTGTATGGCTTTATGTATAATTGATATATGCAAATTGCTTCCTGTGAAGCACCTCAAAGCAATTCTACAATACAATAAAGCCTAGAAAAAATACATATATAAAAACAAGTTCAAATCCAATAGAGATATTACTGGGATAGCAGTTTTATCCCTTCGAATGGAGCAGCTTTTTGCGGGGAGGGGAGCAGTTCAGATTGCTCTTCAAGGAACCTAGATGATGTTTTGGTCTGTTTACAGAGGAGGATAGAGCTGGGTGGTATCTGGTTTTCAACATTGTGATATATCACCAGCTAAACATTGCGATATACAGTGGTACCTCGGGTTAAGTACTTAATTCGTTCCGGAGGTCCGTTCTTAACCTGAAACTGTTCTTAACCTGAAGCACCACTTTAGCTAATGGGGCCTCCTGCTGCTGCTGCGCCGCTGGAACACGCTTTCTGTTCTCATCCTGAAGCAAACTTCTTAACCCGAGGTAATGTTTCTGGGTGAGCGGAGTCTGTAACCTGAAACATATGTAACCTGAAGCATATGTAACCTGAGGTACCACTGTACTTTATTTTAAAAAGGGGGGAGGGGTGTTTATGTCCAGGAGGAATAGTGGGATATTTTTAACCTGCTTTTTGTCTTGCACCCACTGAGATATCGTCTGCAATATCAGCTGACAGAGCCTGTTCAAATTGCTCAATGTTGGCAGCAGATTAGTGCTGACTTTGTTTCCTGAAGGGCATAAGTTTTACATGAGCCCCATTTCAAACTTGCAGAGACAAAACTTTATTTCGTGGTCACTTGTAGGAGCTGTCAGAAGCATTTTACAGAGAGTTGCAAAACTACACAGCACACACTCTTCAGAACTGGGAATGAGGAAATGGGAGAAGGTGGTTTGCTATTTTGCAATTTTGTGTTCCTATACTGGTTACTTGCTTTCATCCATTGCCATTGTGATACTGCAGTAGAGTGGTACCTCGGTTTACGAACAGCCCTGTTTCCGAACTATTCGGTTTAAGAACTCCATAAAACCGGAAGTAGTGTTCCGGTTTGAGAACTTTACCTTGGTTTACGTACGGAAGCCAAATGGTGGAAGGGCGCTGGCAGCAGGAGACCTCATTAGGGAAAGTGTACCTCAGTTTAAGAATGGTTTTGGTTTAAGAATGGACTTCCGGAACGGATTAAGTTCGTAAACCCAGGTACTACTGTAAATATATTCAGTAACACGACTGCTTTTTAACATGGGTGCCTTATCTGTTTGTTTTGTTTCCTTTGCTGTAAAGGCTCTACGTGAATACATTATTCCATTTTTTACAGGTAGCATATTGGTCAAAGCTTAGCAATGTTGACCTATTTTATATATTGGCCCGTTGGAACAAAATTTATCATATAGATTTTATGAGGGCAAACTCATGTTCACAATGCACGATGCAATATTTAAAGTTACATAGGGCTTTTCCTCTGTTGGATGTCCCCAAGGAATTTGAAGAGGGAAAGTGTATTTTTAAGTGAGACTGAGGTCTTAAGCCCTGTTTAATCGTTTGTTTCAATCTTAAATGTGCAAAATATCTGAGGTAGAGCAAATACACATTGGGACAGACAAGCCAAAAGAGGTTCCCAATTATGGAAATACAAAAAAAACCCCCAAGGTGGTTACAAATGCAGATCCTTGGCATGTAACAGGTTAATGTATTTCCAAAGAGATCGACCATTTTTTTTGGGGGGGGAGGCCTTGGAAACTCTTTCAGCACACCCTGAACATTAGTTCTTCCAGTTAAGGGTTTGACAAGTATATGCACATAACCCTAATTTTAGGAACTGCTGGTATTTGCTTTTCCTTGCATCATTCAGTTTAATTTAAATATATTAAGCTACAAATATTAATAGCTGTTTCGGTAATTATTTTACACAGTGCATTCAATCTAAGTCACTGTTTGGCTTAGCATGACATGCCAACAAGGTCAGTGGTTCATCCAGCGTCACTAAATGAGCTTTATGACTGAGTGTTTTGAACCTAGCAGTAGTTTGAAAGTCCATGACAGGCCTCCCCAACCTGCGGCCCTCAAGATGTTTTTTGGGACTACAACTCCCATGATCCCTAGCTAACAGGACCAGTGGTCAGGGATTATGGGAATTGTAGTCCAAAACATCTGGAGGGCCGAAGGTTGGGGATGCCTGGACTATGATCACTGCAAAACACTGGAAAAATATCTCCTGATGGGAAAGAATTGATTCATTGATTGCTTCCCTAGCAATGGATTTTGTCAGCTACCTACCACATCCAAGAGAGCACATAATTTTCAAATTAAAATCTAGTGGCTTCGATAGTCTGCATTTGGAGCAGTATAAAGTGTCAATGTTTCATCTGTTTGCACAGGGGTTCCCCTCTCCTTTTAAGGCAGCTGATACTAAGAAGGAGGAGGAGGAGGAGGAGCTGTATCCTCAGTGTGTTGTTTTAGTGATCTATAAAAGCCTTCATTATATCAGACCTCTTCTATTTCTAAATTTATTCTAGCACCATGTGACACTTCCTAGGCAGAAGTCATGAAAGAGAGTTGTGTGTGAAAGAGACGGTTGCACATATAAGACAGAAGAAGTCTCTTAACAGATGCATTTTTTTAATTTATCCGTTGCCTCGTGGCTCAGTGGGGCCTTGCATCAAAGAAAGCACATGCAGTTTAAATACCAGTCCTTATTATCCTTAACATATAAAAGACATGTGACAAGTACAGAATGACTGGAGGCAAGTTAAGAACATAAAACTGCTCTGCCTTATGATATAAAGCTTCAGGCATGAGTGTCCGTGACTTTGAGGCACTTGTCGTTGTTCAAAGGGCATAAATTTAAACTCTGCACTGGGGCAGAGTTTTATGCTTCTCAAATTACCTTGCTTATCAGTTGAAGAAGTTTAACCTCCTCACTTAAGGTGCCAAACTAGTGCTTAATGCAAAATGCCTTGCTGTGCAATTTGCCTGTGTAATTGGGCTGCTGTAGGCACAGAGTTTTGCATACACTAACCAGGGGTCAAGAAGGTTTACCTCGGGCTGGATCGCGTGGGAGTGCGTGCGCCCACGATTTTTGGCGTCTGCGCAGATGAAATTTCTGGCTCCGCAGAAGCGAGTCCCTGCGCTGTGCTGCACCGGTTTAGCGCAGCGCGGCTCGTTTCGGGGGTGGTTCGGGGGCCAGTTAAATGTTATCCCTCGCACAAGTTGCTTTTCAGCTCTCAGTGAAGTGAAATGAGGGGGAATAGAAGTACCGGTAAAAGCAGGGCTTTTTTCCGTAGCCAGAACTCAGTTCTGGTACCATTCTTGCTGGGGCTGATAGGGATTGTAGTTTGGTAAAAGGTAAAGGACCCCTGGACGGTTAAGTCCAGGCAAAGGTGACTATGGGGTTGTGGTGCTCGTCTCGCTTTCAGGCCGAGGGAGCCAACGTTTGTCCACAGATAGCTTTCTAGGTCATGTGGCCAGCAGGACTAAACCGCTTCTGGCACAACAGGACACCATGACGGAAACCAGAGCGCATGGAAACGCTATTTACCTTCCTGCTGCGGTGGTACCTATTTATCTACTTGCAGTGGCTTGCTTTCGAACTGCTAGGTTGGCAGAAGCTGGGACTGAGCAATGGGAGCTCACTCCATCACGGGGATTCAAACCACCAACCTTCTGATCGGCAAGCCCTCTGTCTTAATATGGCATATTTAATAAGGTGTCATATTTTCTCTATTTATTACAGGGGTTCTGCTGTGGCTAAAATAATAGGCAACAATGTAAAAACGCTGCAAAAGTTCGCTTCTACGGTGAAAATGTGGGTTTTTGAGGAAAACATTGATGGACGGAAATTAACCGATATCATAAATAATGATCACGAGAATGTAAAATATCTCCCTGGACACAAGCTTCCAGACAATGTGGTAAGACATATATATTAGTTATCTCTGTTTATTTTAAGCATTTTACTATTCTAAAAGTATTGTTTTAAAAGTTTTACTATTCCCCTCACACGGCTGCATTTCCCAGAGTTCTCTGGGAAGAGGGATTGACTGCTCAACCACTCTGGGAATTGTAGTTCTGTGAGGGGAAATAAGGGGTCTCCTAACAAATCGCAGCACCCTTAGCAAACTACAGTTCCCAGGATTCTTTGGGGGAAGCTATGCCTGTTGAAGTGAAATAAGAGAGCTTCAATTGCAGATGTGACTTTAGTGTGGGTCCAACCCCATTGGGCCCAACTAATAAATGTCTTCAGAACCTGGTTTTTGTGTGAGGAGAGGAACGGCGCAGAGTAAAAATAATGGGCTTAAAGTAAAAGAACAAAAGCTCTTATTCACATTTACGTTTTGTTAAATTCCAAAATAATAGCTGTCAGTCATTTGCAAAAATTGGAACCCAGTGTGCCCTCCCAGTGAACAGAAGGAGATCTGCCATTTGTGGAAGGGGCCTGGGTCTGGCAAGCCTTCCATTCATAGCACTGAGAGGCAGTGGCGTAGCGTGGGGGGTGCAGGGGGGGCCGGCCGCACCGGGCGCAACATCTGGGGGTTAGGGTTAGGGGGCGCAAATCCACAGGTTAGGGGGCGCAAATCCACGGGTTAGGGGGCGCAAATTACTTGCCTTGCCCCGGGTGCTGACAACCCACGCTACGCCACTTCTGAGAGGAGATTGTTTCTCTGCTGTGCTGCGTCGCAAAACAAGTTATTTTTCTGGAAGTTGCACCAACAATCTGAAGTTGATTTTTATAGAAGCATGAGGGGGCTAACTAGGGGAGGAGAGGACAGAATTTGTTTCCATTCTGTGAGTAAATTCTGTTCACAAACCTCTGATTCCAACCCACAGAGAATAGTAACCATTTACTATCCGCAATAAATATTAGATTTCCCCAAATCCAATGTAAATGGTATCTTATTTAATTCTGTTTCCAACTTTAGAAGCAATCAGAAACTTTATTTTTGTGTTTTTTTATTGTAAGCTGTCCTGTGATCTTTGGATGAAGGGCAGTATAGAAATTTGATGTAATTTGCCATTGGTTTGTTTAAAATTTGGAAAACTAATAAATATTATTTGGCAAAAAAAACACAAATTGAATTACCGTATTTTTTGCTCTATAAGACTCACTTTTTCCCTCCTAAAAAGTAAGGGGGAATGTGTGTGCGTCTTATGGAGCGAATGCAGGCTGCGCAGCTATCCCAGAAGCCAGAACAGCAAGAGGGATTGCTGCTTCACTGTGCAGCGATCCCTCTTGCTGTTCTGGCTTATGAGATTCAGAATATTTTTTTCTTGTTTTCCTCCTCCAAAAACTAGGTGCGTCTTATGGTCTGGTGCGTCTTATAGAGTGAAAAATACGGTAATAATAATAATAATAATAATAATAATAATAATACTTTGCTAGTTTACATTGGGTGGGAATGAGTTCCAAATTTGCTTGTGCCTTTATACTTGAAATTTACTGTTATTATCAGTTGGCTCGCCAGGTATTAGCTTCTTACAACAAACAATACAAGCAACACGAAGACCAGTATACTAGATAGCACTGCAAGGTATTAGCTTATTGGCAGTATAAAATATTTGCTCTGCAAATAAGCTTTCCGCAATTCCAGCTGGATGCATTTGCCAATGGTCAAAGCCAGCCAACAAAAGAGTCGCTTTTGGAATAGTAGAACCAATCTGTGCTTAGTTTTAATCTGTGCTAGTTTAAAATCTTTAAATTTTATGGCCATTATACAGTGGTGCCTCGCAAGACGAAATTAATCCGTTCCGCGAGTCTCTTCGTCTTGCGGTTTTTTCGTCTTGTGAAGCACGGCTATTAGCGGCTTAGCGGCTATTAACGGCTTAGCGGCTTTAAGAAAAAGGAAACAAACTCGCAAGAACTCGCAAGACGTTTCGTCTTGTGAAGCAAGCCCATAGGGAAATTCGTCTTGCGGAACGACTCAAAAAACGGAAAACTCTTTCGTCTAGCGAGTTTTTCGTCTTGCGAGGCATTCGTCTTGCGGGGCACCACTGTAATAATAATAATAATAAAGCATTTCTACAAACAAAATAAAATCGGCGCATTGAGACAAATGTCTTCTTTCTTCTCTCTTTCTCATCTCTCCCTTTCTTCCTCCCTTGAATAAATGTCCATAGGTTGCTGTCCCAAATCTGAAGGATGCCGTGCAAGACGCAGACCTGCTGGTTTTTGTCATTCCCCACCAGTTCATTCATAAAATTTGTGATGAGATCACGGGGCGCGTAGCCAAGAAAGCTGTCGGTATAACTCTCATTAAGGTACAACAGATACAGATACAAGCCTTACTTTGGTGTCAATGAATCCTTTGGAATTGTTCAATGGGCTGTTGGACAAAAACAATGCTGAAGATATGTATAATCCCTAGACTTACGACAATATAGATCCAGCTCATTTGGATCAGTAGTTTTGAGTTCTGAAAGGTGCTGTGCATCATGTAATTATGTAACGATGGTAACATGGCGAGTCAGTGATGCTGTGGCGTAATGTCGCACACCCCTGTGGCAAACATGCCTTGACTGGAGCTCATCATTGTAGCGCTGTGACACCCTCCCTCTTGAATTTTCTTCCATTAGACGTGAAGCAAGCCCTACATTGTTCTGTTTTTGATGTTGGTGGAAACATTTATTTCCCCCCTAGCATTCTCAGATTGCTCCTATTTTATTTCTGAATTTGTTCATTTTTATGTTTTAACACTGCTCCTTGATTTGTGTTGTGTTGTGTTTTCCATTTCTGCACATCACTTGGGTCTTTTCTGCAAAGCAGTTTATGAATTCTAATTTTTTTAAAAAACAAAAAACCCACAGCTTTTAAATGGTCATTGCAGTTCTACAGATTCAGCCTAATCTATGGACTCAGCTACATGTTAAAATGAAACATTTTAAATGTGTTGTGGGGGCGGGACATGGGTGGCTAAACCACTGAGCCTCTTGGACTTGCTGATCAGAAGGTTGGCGGTTTGAATCCCCACGACGGGGTGAGCTCCCGTGTCTCTGTTCCAGCTCCTGCTAACCTAGCAGTTTGAAAGCACGCCAAAAAAGTGCAAGTAGATAAATAGTTACCGCTCCAGCAGGAAGGTAAACGGAGTTTCTGTGCGCTGCTCTGGTTTTGATGTTCCGTTGCACCAGAAGCGGCTTAGTCATGCTGGCCACATGACCCGGAAAAACTGTCTGCGGACAAACGACGGCTCCCTTGGCCAGTAAAGCGAGATGAGCGCTACAACCCCAGAGTCGTCCGCGACTGGACTTAACTGTCAGGGGTCCTTTACCTTTACCCTTTAAAGTGCAATGTGCAAATGTGACACTAGATGGTGAAAGTGAGCTATGCAAAAATTCAGTGTATTTTTCGAACTGTTTTAAAACCAAGCATTTTCAAGGCGTTTTTTAATATGTGTGTAGATTCCACCCAGATGGCATATAGGCAGAATTTCACCCACTAGTGAGGATAATTATCAGTCTTCTGTCCGATGTTGATAACTGACTATAGTGGTTACCTTTTAATGTTTGCTGCAGGGAATAGATGAGGGTCCAGAGGGTCTCAAACTCATATCTGACATCATCCGAGAGAAAATGGGAATAGACATCAGTGTGCTGATGGGAGCAAATATTGCCAATGAAGTAGCAGCAGAGAAGTTCTGTGAAACCACAATAGGTAATTTTTTTTTAGTATGCTTTATATAGGGTCTTCTCCCTGTTGTCATCTGGTACCAATCCTCTAAGGACTTTAGATTTTATTTATGACATTTTTTTATCTCATCCTTCACCCAAGACGCTAACAGTAGAATTTGATTCCTCTATATATTACCCTGAAGAATGGTAGAGATCATGGGAATTACAGTGACGTCTTGTGCAGGGGTGAATGACATGCTTGAAGAAGGGGCGTGCTTATAATCTATATTTATATATTCCTGGTTGAGTTTTTAAAAAATGTTTTTATGAGGGACCTATGTATATAAGATGGGACGTGGGTGGCACTGTGGGTTAAACCACAGAGCCTAGGACTTGCCGATCAGAAGGTCGGCGGTTTGAATCCCCGCGACGGGGTGAGCTCCCGTTGCTCGGTCCCTGCTCCTGCCAACTTAGCAGTTCGAAAGCACACCAGTGCAAGTAGATAAATAGGTACTGCTCCGGCGGGAAGGTAAATGGCATTTCCGTGTGCTGCTCTGGTTCACCAGAAGCGGCTTAGTCATGCTGGCCACATGTATGCCGGCTCCCTCGGCCAATAAAGCGAGATGAGCGCCGCAACCCCAGAGTCAGTCATGACTGGACCTAATGGTCAAGGGTCCCTTTACCTTTATGTATATAAGATAGCATTTTGGATGGAAGACACAGTCTACTGAAAAACACAGTCATGCTTCATTAATATCTTTGTGATCATACCTGGAATTTTATTAAAATAGGGCAGGAGTGGGCCAAATTATATAACGCCCTACTAGATTATTGTCGGCATCTTGTGGCCCATGGATTTCTCCATTAGGCTTGTTTTCAGCATCCCGTAAGGCACTGGTATGATCCAGGTCCTCTCACTTTAAGAGCCCATATCCCAGCATGTGCAGAGAAGGCTTTGCAACTGAGCGTTTTTGATAGTGCATCTGGCCCTTGGATAGGGGACAGAGCATGTTGAGAAGACTTGGGTTCAAGTCATGAGGTGTACTGGATGGGCCTTGAGCCCAGGTCACTGTCTCCAGGCCTGTCGTCCCTCGCAGGGTTGCAAGCCCACTTTGGATTCTATGCAGGAAAGATGAGAAAGAAGTACCGTATTGGCCGGAATATAAGACACACCTGCAAATAAGATGCACCTTTAAAATTCAAGGGGGGGGGGAGAGAATATCCGAATATAACCCGCTCCCTTAAAATTGGGTTACAGGCTGAAAATGGCTGCGGTTGGTAGAATTGTAACTCCTAGCCAATTTAAGCCTTTGAATCTTGCAAGCCCCCAAAAGTTACCGCACAGTCACTAAAATAGCAAATCACTATTCAGTTGCTACAATTCCGCCCGTAAATGGCAAATGAACAGTCTCAAGCTTGCAAATCGGCAATAAAACGTTTTTTTGGTTCCGTTTTACCATATGTCTGTTTCAGCAGCGATATCGTAAAAGATAATTTTTGTAAGGTCGCGAATTTAAGCTGCACTTTAACTTTTTATGGTCGGAATTTGGGGGGGGAAGTGTGGCTTATATTTGGGTCAATACAGTATAAGCCTGATCAAGGGCTTTAAAGGATATAAAAGTAGACATGAAGAGTTGCCTAGTACCTTGTTTTGAACAGTTCCGTCTTGTTTCTAAAAGCCAGCATACTAGCTAAAGTAAAGCTGACCGTACTCCTTCTGCCCTTCACCTCCACACCCCAAAATAACAGGCTGCAAAATTTTGGAGAATGGCTTCCTCTTCAAAGAACTTCTCCAGACTCCGAACTTCCGAATAACTGTGGTGGACGATGCCGATACTGTTGAGCTTTGCGGTGCTCTTAAGGTAATATTTGTTTTTGGGCAGGGATGACATTAAAAGCTAAAAAACAACAACCCTAAAACTAGAAAGCAGAGAGCTATGGGAAGTTGGGTACTAGGCCAACACCTGCTTCTTGCTTCCTCTTGATGCTAGGGCTCTGTTAGAGGGTGATGCCAAAACTCCACTCAACTTGCCTTCTCTCAGATGGCTTCCTCATGTTTTGTGTCCGAGGGGGAAGTACTGTGATGCCATACTCAAGATCTTCCTTTCTTCCTATGCAGCAAGAAACCCCCAAACAAACCACAAGGGTAGGGATGGGGAAGCCTGCGGCCTTCCCAAAATTGTTGGACTCCAACTCACATCAACTCCAGCCAGCAGGGCCAGTGGACAGGGATTATGGGAGTTGTAGTCCCAAGAACTGTCTCCTTTGTGCCAAAGCAGAAGAATCTAGCCAAGCTTGGGACAGTGACCCAAACATAGACTTTATTTCTTTGTAAAGGGGTTTGGTGGTGGTGGCACTTCCTAATATGTGAAGATGTTACGTTTTTCATTTGCATTTGGCTCTCTTATCTGCTGGCTAGATTTCAAAAGGTGAGCACCAGAGAAATAGGCACTGGGCAATACTCCAAAGTCCTTAAGTATCAAATGAGTACCACCAACGTTGTCCCATTGGTTGTTGCCAGATTAAATTGTTGTTGTTGTTGTTGTTGTTGTTTAGTCGTTTAGTCGTGTCCAACTCTTCGTGACCCCATGGACCAGAGCACGCCAGGCACTCCTGTCTTCCACTGCCTCCCACAGCTTGGTCAAACTCATGCTGGTAGCTTCGAGAACACTATCCAACCATCTCATCCTCTGTTGTCCCCTTCTCCTTGTGCCCTCAATCTTTCCCAACATCAGGGTCTTTTCCAGGGAGTCTTCTCTTCTCATGAGGTGGCCAAAGTGTTGGAGACTCAGCTTCAGGATCTGTCCTTCCAGTGAGCACTCAGGGCTGATTTCCTTCAGAATGGAGAGGTCCCTGGGACTCTCAAGTCTCCTCCAGCACCATAACTCGAAAGCATCAATTCTTTGGCGATCAGCCTTCTTTATGGTCCAGCTCTCACTTCCATACATCACTACTGGGAAAACCATAGCTTTAACTATATGGAACTTTGTTGGCAAGGTGATGTCTCTGCTTTTTAAGATGCTGTCTAGGTTTGTCATTGCTTTCCTCACAAGAAGCAGGCATCTTTTAATTTCGTGGCTGCTGTCACCATCTGCAGTGATCATGGAACCCAAGAAAGTAAAATCTCTCACTGCCTCCATTTCTTCCCCTTATATTTGCCGGACTAAATAAATCTGACTAAAAAGATCCAGTAGCAGAAGGATTTCGGCTTGTGCAACAGACCTTCTCCTCCCTGCATATTCCTCAGTGTTCTCCCCAAATCTGTTCTAGTGGGTTGGGGGAAAGTACAGAACAAATTTAGTTGGGTGCATCAGGATAGGAGAGGGAGGGTAAGTTATTTTGCACAGCCAAAACTCCTTGCACTCGCATATCTGTTTTGTGGGATGTAGCGCCCCACCCTTTTTAATTAGCTCTTCTTTCTCAATAGGGACACGGGTGGCACTGTGGGTTAAACCACAGAGCCTTGGACTTGCCGATCAGAAGGTTGGCGGTTCGAATCCCCATGACGGGGTGAGCTCCCGTTGCTCGGTCCCTGCTCCTGCCAACCTAGCAGTTCGAAAGCACGTCAAAGTGCAAGTAGATAAATAGGTACCGCTCTGGCGGGAAGGTAAACTGCGTTTCCATGCGCTGCTCTGGTTCGCCAGAAGTGGCTTAGTCTTGCTGGCCACATGACCCGGAAGCTGTACGCCAGCTCCCACGGCCAATAAAGCGAGTTGAGCACCGCAACCCCAGAGTCGGTCACAACTGGACCTAATGGACAGGGGTCCCTTTACCTTTACCTTCTTTTTCTAAAAACAGGGAAGGTTTCCCTAAGGATAGCTGCCTGAGGACTGAATCAAGCGCCAAAAAAAAAAAAAAAGTTCTGCAGGTGGGATTCATGTGCCAATCATGATAATTTTTAGCTCACGACATTACTTAAAAGCACATCTAAATGCAGTGCCTATAATGATTGCAGCTGGAAGATGATGAAAGAACATCTGCTCCATATCCGCTTCCATTGGATGTCTTTTTATCATGTCTGGCAACAAGCTGGTGGAGATACAGATGCAGCTAAAAGGCTCTGCAAATAGATTTCCCCCATTTCAAAAAATACCAGATGTGTTAGATTGTTATCATTCACATCGGTGCTATAGAGACAAGGCACTAGAAACGAGTGCCCGGCGACAAGAGCTTCCTGCCTGTTTTGTGCACTGGCCATTTTCATTGCTAGGGACCAATCTGGTGAAAAGCATGCATGAGTACTTTTGAAAGCAATACATTTCCCTTCTTTTTAAGAGAGTGGAGAAGTGTCACACTTCAGATGCTGGAATCCACTAGAGATAGATTTAAAACTTTCATAGTAAGATCTGAACATCTGTGTGCGATAGAGGTTTCTTCGTGTACTTGGCCCCAAGTGTTGTTGTTGTTGTTGTTGTTGTTTATTAATTACTTATACCCCACCCATCTGGCCAGCCCTCCCCAGCCACTCTGGGCGGCTTCCAACAGGATTTTTAAAAACACATTAAAAGAGCAAACATTTAAAACTTCCCTAAATAGGACTGCCTTCAGATGTCTTCTAAAAATCAGATAGTTGTTTGTTTACCTGACATCTGGTGGGAGGGCATTCCACAGGGTGGGTGCCACTACTGAGAAGGCCCTCTGCCTGGTTCCCTGTAACTTCGCTTCTCACAATGAGAGAACCACTAGAAGGCCCTCGGAAGCTGGACCTCAGTGTCCGGGCTGAATGATGGCGGTGGAGACGCTCCTTCAGGTATACTGGGCCAAGGCTGTTTAGGGCTTTAAAGTTCAGCACCAACACTTTGAATTGTGCTCGTACTGTGAGCCAATGTAGGTCTTTCAGTGATTTGAAACCCTTCCTTCCGCAATATGGGAGAGCAAATAGGGAATGGCAGTTAGAGGGAGAGAAGGAGAGTGAAGGTCCAAGTAAACTTTATTCTTTCATTCCTTCACAGTGAGTTCCTGTTGCCCCCTCCTGCACACTCTCTTTGGCAGTGATAGTGGGTCACCTCTCCTTGGCAGCCAATAGGATTATTTGGCCTCAGCCAGTGCAAGGGGCCGCAATACAGGAGACCCCAGGGACATTTCCACCTGCTGTGCGAAAGGGCTTGGTCCTGCTAAAAGGATATACAGAGAAGAATTGGTGTCTTTGCGTCCCAATTCCCCTTTTGTTGTTGTTGTTGTTTAGTCGTTTAGTCGTGTCCAACTCTTCGTGACCCCATGGACCAGAGCACGCCAGGCACTCCTGTCTTCCACTGCCTCCCGCGGTTTGGTCAAACTCATGCTGGTAGCTTCGAGAACACTGTCCAACCATCTTGTCCTCTGTCGTCCCCTTCTCCTTGTGCCCTCCATCTTTCCCAACACCAGGATCTTTTCCAGGGAGTTTTCTCTTCTCATGAGGTGGCCAAAATATTGGAGCCTCAGCTTCACGATCTGTCCTTCCAGTGAGTACTCAGGGCAGATTTCCTTCAGAATGGATAGGTTTGATCTTCTTGCAGTCCATGGGACTCTCAAGAGTCTCCTCCAGCACCATAATTCAAAAGCATCAATTCATCGGCGATCAGCCTTCTTTATGGTCCAGCTCTCACTTCCATACATCACTACTGGGAAAACCACAGCTTTAACTATGTGGACCTTTGTTGGCAAGGTGATGTCTCTGCTTTTTTCCAGTAAAGTTCCCCTTTACTGCCAAAAAAATACCTGCTGGAGAGAGACAATTAGGATGCACAATCCCAGTTCCTCCACCCCTTTCAGTCCTTCCAGCAGGAGCATCACTCTTCTTCATTGCCTGCAGCATCAATTTCCAGTGAACTCCTTGACGCAACACTTTGCTCATTCTCTTGTGGCCCAAGGCTATTCTGGTGCTGCTGAGAGCTAGTTCTGGAAGAGATGTAGCTGTGCTGGACGACACACAAATTCTCTAGTGCTCTTCAGCCTCCTGAACACCTGCAAGTTGGTCATCAGGGGGAGCGATGGTACTGAATCTTTTCATATAAGCAAAATCTTATTCCAGAGAGATGGAAAGTGCTTTCTTTAAGGTCAAACTCACCACTTGTACCTCCTTCTCCAGGCTATTCTCTCACTCATTCATTCCTACTGTGTGTAGGCTCCCTTTTGAGTTTGCAGATTTGCTGCTGTTCCATACTAACGTGAAATGCTGCCAGATTCTTTTAGGGTAATTGGGTAACAGCAGCAATTATGCGATGTACAGCACTGTAAATATATGTCTGCACTTCCTCTGCTGTTGAAGAGCTTAGTTTCTGGCTGTTCCATGCCCTGGAAATGAGGGAATGCAAGCGACAATCCATTATTCACACCAGCTCTCAGCTAAGCTTGCCAAGGTGCACATTGGCCATCTATTCTGAATTTATTTCATTTCTGGCAAAGTTCTCTGCGGTTCATTGAATCTGAGCTCAACCTTGTGATCCACTGCCTGTCTCCCTGAGCTATGGGCAGTCTGAACGGGAAAGCCGGTCTCGGACAGCTATAGATATCTCCACGGTATTTACATCACGAGCATATGATGCTACTTTGTGAAGAATCGGACCATTGGTCTCGCAGCAGAATGCCAAGACCTCAGACAAAAGTACTTGATTGAACTGGAGAGATCAGATTGAACCCCGGGCCTTTTTGCATGCATAGCTGTCATCTCAGTGTCTGCTGGGATAGTTCATTCGGTAGAGCATAAGACTCTCAATCTCTGGGTTGTGGGTTCGATTCCTATGCTGGGTGTCAGATGGCAATGGTGCTTGCTCGTGAGTAACCAGCCAGGACTCCGACCTGTCTTTTACAGGTTTTATTTTGGTGCAAAACTATTTACAGTGCAGAGCCACAAGTTCATGTCTGCCTCAATCGCTAGCAGAATCCGGGAGTGGGCGTTTCCGGGTCCTCCCCCAACATAAGAGCTTCGTCACCCCCAGCCTTTTCCTTCCTTCTTTGTGTTTAACACCTCTGCGCAGGGTGGGTGACGGAAGGGGCGTGCTTTCCTCCTGGCTGGCTTGACCAGGAGGGTGCTGAGGCTCCCAGCAGCATCCTCTGGTCCTTTCCCCTCTTCCCCACTGGAGGTGTGGCTTTCCTCACCACAGGAAGAGGAACTGCTTCGCAAGATTTTCGGAGGTTCTCTGTAACCCAGCTGCCCCTCTGCTTCCCTTCCCTGTTCCAATGGCAGTACCCTGACACTGGGGAACAGATTCTTGCATTGCAGGGGGTTGGACTAGATGACCCTCATGGTGGCCTCCAACTCTATGATCCTACGACGATAACAAGTTGATCTAAGTGGTGCAGTGAAATGCTGTAAGCTGCTACCAAATGGGGATGGAACATTACAGAGCTCTCTGTCTCAAAGAGGAAGCTTTGTAGCCTCTGTATCCTGGAGCCAGGGTGGGGATTTTAAGCACGCTACATCATTTTGGCGATGTGCCTGATCATTTACCATAAGACTCTATAAGACTCACTTTTTCCCTCCTAAAAACTAAGGGGAAATGTGTGTGCGTCTTATGGAGCGAATGCAGGCTGCGCAGCTATCACAGAAGCCAGAACAGCAAGAAGGATTGTTGCTTTCACTGCGCAGCGATCCCTCTTGCTGTTCTGGCTTCTGAGATTCAGAATATTTTTTTTCTTGTTTTCCTCCTCCAAAAACTAGGTGCATCTTGTGGTCTGGTGCGTCTTATAGAGCGAAAAATACGGTACATAGCAATATTTCTAGCATGAGGATTTATTTTCCTGGTCCAGAACTGCGAAGTCATTGAGTTCTCTTGGGCAAGTCAGTGTTTTGCTTGGCGTAAGAGTAGGAGTAGTAGGGATCAATAAGAATTGCACATCTTTTTTTGCATTTAAAATTGCTTTAAAATTTTCCTACTGCTTTCTTGGAGCTTAGGATGGCATACATGGTTCCCCCAGGCACATCCACTCACAACAACCCTGTGAGGTAGATTAGGCTGAGGTCACCCAGTGAGCTCTGTCACTAAGCAAGAGCCCTTCCACCTTCCTTGCCGCTTCAGAGTCTGTTTCTCAAACAGTTGTTTCCCCCTCCCTTTTTATCTTCTCCTCCGTTAGAACATTGTGGCTGTGGGAGCTGGCTTCTGCGATGGCCTCCGCTGCGGCGATAACACCAAAGCAGCTGTCATTAGGCTTGGGCTGATGGAAATGATTGCCTTCGCAAAGTTCTTCTGCAAGGGGCAGGTGTCCACTGCCACTTTCCTGGAGAGCTGTGGCGTGGCAGACCTGATCACCACGTGCTACGGGGGCCGCAATCGGAGAGTGGCCGAAGCGTTTGTTAGAACAGGAAAGGTACGGTCCCTGGGACTCGCTCTTCTTCACACTTGCTTTCCTGTGACTGACTCTTGAATCTCTTCCGTTGTTTGGAACAATCTTGTGACAGGTGGACACACAGAGTAAAATAATTGTCTGTCATGTGGGAAAAGTACAACGCGGGTCTCATGGTGATTTGCTGGGGTCTTGGGATGACAATAATGACAACCACAGCATTCTCTTAAGTAGTGTTCCATTGCAGGATGTATCAGATCGGACCTGACTCCATTACCTAGTGTGATGAGCTCCTTAGATAACTGGTTTTGGAAGGGAACAGGAGGGCCAATATTATTTATTTAAAATTGGGGTGGGGGGGCGGAGTCAGGGTTTGAGGCAAGGGAATTTTCCGAAGGTGTCCTCTACGATTCCCTCTCCCCTCCCTTCAGTAAATCTAGCACTGTACTCTACAGCTTAGATAGCTCAATTGGTTAGATTAGAGTTTCCCAAACTTGGGTCTCCGGTTGTTTTGAGACTACAATTTAAAGCCCTTCACGGCCTAGGACCCTTGTACCTATGGGACCGCCTCTCCCAGTATGCCCCACGGAGGACCTCAAGGTCCAGGGGGCCACTAGGGGGCGCATTGGAAGATGGCCGACAATACCATCTCTCTGACCCACACGGGGTAATTAAGAGGCTGTTATGGGAGTAGGCAACCTCCCTTGTTGCCCCAAGGAAATGGGGAACACTGCCCTTGCCTGCTGTGCCCATAAATCACCCCCTAATTTGAAAGAAGGGAGTGAGGGCCCTAGGCAGAATGCCCCCATGTGGACCTCGGCTCTCCTGGACGCTGTCTCTATTGCTGCGCACTAGCTGCAGCAATTTGGAATAATTAATTACAAAAGAAGCAAATGCACATATTTCAAGTGAAGAAGGGGAGTGAAGTCTGCTAATTTAAGTGACCTCTGTGAAAGAAGACGATGGGTTGGAGAAACAGGAATATTTTACGATGAAGATACACCAAAGGCGGGGTATGTTGACAACGGGACTGAATGGGGGGGGGAACCTTTTTTACTTTCCTTCTATGTGATTTACAAGAACCCCTCCTCATTAGAATCGTCGGTTGAACTGACCCAAGCAGGATGATTAAGGTCTGTGTGGAGATAAACTTTAACCAAAAGTATGCTTTATGGAGATCGAGAAGCAATAAGAGCTTTTGGAATGGCGCAGTAATTAATTCAGAATCGCCATCTTGCCAATGGATTTATAGCCGGGAGGAAGAACGGACTTGTTTTCAGACTGCATTCCTGGTGAATCTCCTCAGAGGTTTTGAGAAAGGAGGCAGATTGGTGAAGATTAATGACGCTAAGACTGTTTTGATGTATGGAAGTGATGTTATATGGAAAACGTCTGGATATGGCTACTGGATAAAAAAAATAATATCCACGCAGGATTACAAAATGTTCTAACCAGCTTGTGGAGACTATCAGAGGTCACAAAGAGAAAGGAAAAATATATGAAAATAACAAGAAGAGATGTGGAAAAACAATAAGAAAGGACTGGATAGTACTGTGAACATCATAAGGTTAGATTTGTGGACATTAAAACAGCAGTAAGAAGCAAGAAGTTGATTGGATCCCCTTTGGAACTTGAAATATGGGTACCCCCAACAAAAATTTTAAATTCGGCTGTGTAATTTGGAATTTATGTAATTTGGTTTGATTTGATGTGATTGGTCGGTTAATAAAAAATTATTCTTAAAAAAAAAGGAGGACCTCAAGGTCCATAAATAGCAACACCCTAGTGGTCCCGGGCCCTAAGGAAGCTTCAACCAGAGCCAGGGCCTTCTCAACACTGGCTCCAGCCTGGTGGAACGCTCTGCTTCATGAGGCCAGGGCCCTGCAGGATCTGATTTCTTTCCGCAGGGCCTGTAAGACAGGGTTGTTCTGCCTGGCCTTTGGCTTGGAGCCAATTTGATTCCCTCCCCCTCTTTCTTTTTCCTTTCTCCTCCTGTGATGAGGCTGCATTTTAACATTTTAATATTTTACTGTTTCAATATTTTAATGTTGTATTTTAATCTTGTTTTTAATTTGTATTCATTCAACTTGTTTTTATTATTGCTTGTGAGCTGCCCTGAGCCCGGCCTTGGCTGGGGAGGGTGGGGTATAAATAAAAATTATTATTATTATTATTATAATTCCCATCATCCCTGACCACTGGGTCTTACTAGCTAGGGATGATGGGAGTTGTAGTCCAAAAAACAGCTGGAGACCCAAGGTTGGGAAACACTGGGTTAGATTGGGGTGCCGATAACGCCAAGGTTGCAGGTTTGATCCCCGGATGGGATATCTCAGGCTTCCTCCACCTCGGCCCTCCAGATGTTTTTGGTCTACAACTCCCATGATCCCTAGCTAGCAGGACCAGTGGTCAGGGCTGATGGGTGTTGTAGTCCCAAAACATCTGGAGGGCCGAGGTTGAGGAAGCCTGAGCTGCATATTCCTGCATTGCAGGGGGTTGGACTAGATCAGTGATGGCCAAACTTGGCCCTCCAGCTGTTTTGGGACTACAATTCCTGTCATCCCTGACCACTGCTCCTGTTAGCTAGGGATGGTGGGAGTTGTAGTCGCAAAACAGCTGGAGGGCCAAATTTGGCCATCACTGGGCTAAATGATCCTGAGAGTCCCAACTCTACAGTTTTATGATTCTGTATCTTGTGGATTGTTGCAATAGATAGGGCTTTGGATTTGGAGCACATCTCTACTCTTCTGATTTGGGGCATGGACTGTTCTGTTTAGGTTCAGTCTGCACTGGTTCTCCTCTTGGTCCAAAGAGTTGTTAAGTTTTCTGTCTAAATCAGGAATGGGGAACATCCAGCCCTCCAGATGTTTCTGGATTACAGCAGCCACTGTCCATAGTTGAAGACAAAGTGGTGTGATCTAACAAGGCAATTTTTGTGTTTTGTGGGTTAGCCTGGATACGTGTAAATCTAGGGTAGCCAAGGTGGTACACTGCCCCCACCCCAACAAAAAAAAAGATATCGCTTATCTACATCTTATGAATCATTAAAAGATACACCTTTTTTGTTAAAAAAATTGTTCAGTCTATTGAAGAATTGGAGCAAGAGATGTTGAATGGACAAAAGCTTCAAGGGCCCCAGACATCCGCAGAGGTGTATCGCATTCTTCAACAGAAAGGATTAGTGGAGAAGTAAGTGAGATCGTGTTTAAGCCATGTTTCGAAATGTTTTCCTTCTCAAATATGCTGGCACTAGCTTCTGGTAACTTTATTTTTGGTTGTTTTCCCCCTGGCCCCAAATTATTCTTTAACATAATCTCCAGAGCAAATTATACCCCAGTACCCTGATAGAGATGCAGTTTGGCATGGGCTTGAACATTTGATGAGCAGGGTGGGGGAAAATAGTCTGCGTGGATCCGCTGGGGGCTTGTGTGCCTTGTCTGTGTCTGAAAGTGTGGGTGAGCACATTCACAGCTAGCATGCGGCCCTCAGATAGTTGGCTGAGGGTGAATGCGGCCCTCGCGCAAAAAGAAAAAGGAAAAAGGTTAACCATCCCTACTATAAATGAACAGCTACCTTGTGGTGCCTCTCACTAAATTATATTCATTGTTTATATCAGACATAGGCAAACTCGGCCCTCCAGATGTTTTGGGACTACAACTCTCATCATCCCTAGCTAACAGGACCAGTGGTCAGGGATGATGGGTGTTGTAGTCCCAAAACATCTGGAGGGCCAAGTTTGCCTATGCCTGGTTTATATGCAAATAAAAGAAGCATTTCTACAGAACCCACTGACATTAATGTATTGACGAAAGATTCATCGCAAAGGTAAAGTTAAAATGTAAGTTGTCTCTTCATGTCTGTCTCGGTGGAAAACATGAGCGCTGGTTTCATTGTATTCAAGTACTCGTGCATTTAATAGATGGCTGCTCCCAATGATGGAATAGTCTTTTGAATAATCATGAGAAATTCCCAGGGACTTTTACCAAAAGACCTTAGAAATCGAGTGGTTCCCCCACTTTTTCATTGTTCTTTTTGTTCAATCTAGTCTCCCAAATAATTGCTTGCTTTTGACTGGCAGTTCCTTTCAGGAGTGCCGCTTTTATCCATCAGCTTTAAAAGCAATTTCCTTGGGTTGTCATGTTTTCTATATTACAGGCTGATGTTGTAGTTTTACCAAGGAACAAGATGCGCATAGTAGCTTATTGGAGGAACTTGGAAGCTCCCACTGAATTTGGTTTTCCGCTCTTGTTCTGCCCCCCCCCCATAAAAAGAGTTGAAAAATGTTTGGCCTTCCCACTTTTGCCAACTCAGATCTCAGTATTCTTGTTTTATCTGCTTCCACCTTTTAACACCCAGCGGGAGGCAAGGAAGAGAAATGCGTCACACATGTCCAAAGTCCATTTTGGGGGCTTAATCCTAAAAAACAGGATTTGTTTTGTTCCTAGAAGGAACAAGGAGATCCATGAGCAGAACTCTGCTTGTGGAACAGGGCACATTTGGCTACCGTAAAGAGAATGTGGGGAGACTATTTTAGGCAGTTCCCCCTGCATCTGAAAATCTGCCCTGGAGTGTTGAGGGATGATGTTAGAGGTGGCTACAGGTATAAGGTGGAATTGAGGAAGATTGACTTCTCAGCTCTGTTTAACAAAAGCCTCTGCCAAACTGAAGTTCCTTCCTCAAATGGAAAGGCTACGTCAGTTTGCAGAAGGATTTGTGTTAGAGCCAGCCCTGTCTCGTGTTAGTAACAGCAACACGGTATGCTTACATTGCTTACTGAGTCCAAGGCAGCATTTTTATTGCCACAAACGAAAAAGATACAGTGGTGCCTCGCAAGACGAAATTAATCCGTTCCGCGAGTCTCTTCATCTTGCGGTTTCTTCGTCTTGCGAAGCACGGCTATTAGCTGCTTAGTGGCTTAGCGGCTATTAACGGCTTAGCGGCTTTAAGAAAAAGGAAACAAACTCGCAAGAACTCGCAAGACGTTTCGTCTTGCGAAGCAAGCCCATAGGGAAATTCGTCTTGCGGAATGACTCAAAAAACGGAAAACTCTTTCGTCTAGCGAGTTTTTCGTCTTGCGAGGCATTCGTCTTGCGGGGCACCACTGTACCTGGTTCCCAGGAATGGCAGCAAACAAATGAGCACATTCTTTTTCTTTTTTCCCCCCCAAAAATTATTAATTTTCCACGTTTATAACAGATATAACATAAAAAACACACAAAAGAAAACACATTACAATACTAAAAAGAAAAAGAAACAAAAATATAAACATATATTACTTGTAAAACCCAATTTATCTTTCATTGTTAACCTACTTCCTTTAATCCCCCCTAACTGAATTTCATTGTGTCACCTTGTAACAGGTCTCCAAAATCATCTTTCTAGTAAAATTAACTCCTTCAATTTACTATCTTCTTCTCTTTTCTTAATAGTCTAAATCCATATTTCAACAAATGAGCACATTCTTAATAGCAGCCTAAGCCTCGTTGCAAAGATTTCACACTTGCCTTTGAAGGAGGAGGAGGGATTATTTAACATCCACCCGTGCTTATCGTTTGCACAGTGTCATATCGTTTGCACAAAATAACTTCTAGGGATCTACCTGACCTCAGACAAACCCACCAGGGGAAAGATGCATCCCCTGCTTGCTAGGGGAAAGGGCAAACTACAGAGAAAAGAAGTGTGCTAAAGGGGATGGGACAATAGCAGCTCTTCAGGATCCTGGAGATTCCTATGGCCTGATGTCCAGAGAACTCACTTACCAATCACAGCTCGGACTTCACTCATTGTCTGAAAACACTTGACAGGTGGAAGCAGTCAGGTTGGCTCATTTCACAGAAATAGCTTAGGATACATGTGTATTTTACTTCCTAACTTTCTAGAAGGGTTAGAAAATGGGGTGGGGAAAGAAAGCTCAGAATATGGGCCTTTGGGCCCTGAGTTGGCCACCATAGCATCTACAACTGACTTTTCTTGGGAGATGAAATTTTTGTTTAGATGGACAGTTGTCTAAAATGTCCCATAAAGAACTCTTGCATTAATTCGTATACATTCCTCAAGCTCTGTTTCAGCAATAGACCTTTTCATTGAGGTTTAAATAAATAGATTAAACAGAACAACATAAATAGAAATACGACAAATACGATAGATACATAGATCAAAGATAGATAAAAGCACAGATAGATCAATAAACAGATAAATAGATAGACAGAACAGATTAAATAGATAATATCACCTTTGCATTTCAGTTATAAATTTACATAGTTGCTAGACCTCATCATACCTCCTCTTGTGTATTCCAGTTCAAATTGTTTGTCCAGCAATTTCTTTCCAGACTTATTAATCCCAGTCTTTAATCTTAAATAGTATCAGCATTAAAATTTTACCTCTTAAAAACCAAATTTCCATTTCCTTAAACTTCTTTAATCCTAATCTTTAATCTTAATCTATCTATAGCTTTGAATCCTGTACAGCTGGAAACCACTTATTTTCAATCCAACATCACTCTAACATTCTTTAATTTTGCAGTGTTTCTGTAAATAATCTTTGAATTTCTTCCAATCTTCCTCTAATTCGTATACATTCCTCAAGCTCTGTTTCAGCAACAAACCTCTTCCCTAGATAGATAAATAGATCGATAGATCGATCGATAGATCGATCGATTGATAGATAGATAGATAGATATAGATTTGATAGATAGATAGGTAGATAGATAGATATAGATTTGTGTATCAAATTTTGTTCTGCCATCAATGCATCCTGAACGCTCGGCATTCTTAGCTTTTCTCCTCTCCATCAGTAAAACGTTTTCCTTCCTCTCGTGTCTGTTTTTTAGGTTTCCACTATTTGCTGCTGTCTACCAAATCTGCTACGAAGGGAAACCCGTCCAGGATATGATTTCCTGTCTTCAGAGTCACCCCGAGCATATATAACGCATGCCTTGCCATTGTTGCAATTCCTGCCTTTTCATAGTAACACGTGGGTTCAAATGGGTATAATGAAGTTTTGCAAAGCGTTAACTCCGTTAAGCAATCATGGCAAAATGAATGTCAATTTGTGGGTAATTTTCAGTTTGATGTAATAGTGCAACGCCTAGAATGTCAGCAGTCTTTTTTTTACTGGCTAACATTTTGGGTAGATTTCAGAATAACGCCGAGTGGGGCTTTCACACTCCTCTAAGTATCCATGTATGTGTCTTAGCAGTATGGAAAATGCTTGATGTTTTTGTAGCCTTCATTCTGATGCTTTCTTTTTCTAAAGGGACCCATCTGGAGCACTCCAGTGATTATTGTCGGGGGTGGGAGAGAAAGACAGGTACAGATCCTTTTTCTTTTTTATGGGCATCGGAGATGGCCTGAAATGCATTCTGCATTGAGGCTCTTTGCTATATACATAAAAAATTAGCTTCTGTAATGTACACCCAGCTTTTAATCAGGGTTACATGCCTTTTCTTGAGAATGTTTCTTTTCTTTAACAAATGTTTTGATGATAATCAATTTGATAGCATTTATTAGGCGAGGGAGGAGCACTTTGACCTTTTAACTTACTTACATTTTAAAAGAGATTTTAAGAAATTGAGGGGGGGGAGATCAAATGTGTTTAAATAGTTGCAATATCTTTCATCTTTTAAAAAGGGGAAGTAATGTAGACAGGGCCTGTGTACCAGACAAGGGGCTTTATAGATATGGCTTTGGTGCTTAGCATCATCCCACGTTTATTACCAAAACGAAACTGTGGTTTTGGAACATGCGAATGCAAAACTGCCCTTATGCCGGCTGGATTCAGGCAAACAGGGTTGTGGGGGGGTGAGAGAGAGAGAGAGAGAGAGAGAGAGAGATTATTCTCTGATCCAGTGCATGTATGAGGGAAATTGCAAATTCATTGCCACTTGGCTTGGAAAGCTATTCAAAGGAATTCCCAACAGATACTCAGATGCAATCTTGCTACTGATCTGCTGGCATGCTTTGATGTGTTGGAAATGGCCAGTACGCAGAGAGGAAAAACCTCTTGCGGTTCTGTTGTTTGTCCACTCCTCAAGTTACATTAGAAATAGCAAATTCTCCTGTATCCCACAGAAAGATTCCTACACAGGGAACTTAGTGCTGTTATACTGTTATCTGACAGCAACTTGTGTGGTTGTGATTCACAGGCCCTGCTTTCTAGCACTCAGTATGTTGTGCTTAGTGTAGATCGGAGGTGGATAACTTGTGGCCCTCCAGATGTTGTTGGACTCCATTTCCCATCAGCCCCAGCCAGCATGGCTGATGGTAAGGGATGATGGGAGTTGTAGTCCACAACATCTGGAGGCGCACAGGCTCCCCATCCCTGGTGTAGGTAATATACCAGGGGTTGCTCAGAATACCACACACCGATGAATGTGATGCCAATTCCCATTAGCACATGATTGTATAATAAGCGAACTGTGTTCAGTTATGACTGTGGTTTATTTCAGTGCCTGTTATGACTTCTCTGCCCAGCTGTTGAAATCTATTTAATAGTACCCGCTGACTTAAAATGAGAAATGTTTCTGGGCGTTCTTCCTCATCTAAACTGCCTTGACCTCCTTAAGCGTGTATAGGACTGTGGTCTTAAAGACTGAAATAATTACTTTATCTTGACTTAGAGCTGTTGAAGAATCTGATATGTCCCTCAATTCCCTTGTTAGAATTGGACATTAAATACCGTATTTTTTGCTCTATAAGACTCACTTTTTCCCTCCTAAAAAGTAAGGGGAAATGTGTGTGTGTCTTATGGAGCGAGTGCAACCCGCACAGCTATCCCAGAAGCCAGAACAGCAAGAGGGATCACTGCGTAGTGATCCCTCTTGCTGTTCTGGCTTCTCGGATTCAGAATATTTTTTTTCTTGTTTTCCTCCTCCAAAAACTAGGTGCGTCTTGTGGTCTGGTGCGTCTTATAGAGCGAAAAATACGGTAGTTTGCCTATTTATGTTGGAAGAAAAGATACCAAAAACCGGGGGGGGGGGGATGTTGTCAGGTGTATTAATATGATTTCATAACCTGGAGATAAATGCAAGTATGTCAAGTACTAGAAGACAATCCTGTGCTGATTATGGAACTTTCAGCATGGAAGTTATTATACGTTTATATCCCACTTTTCCTAAAAGGGATTGAAAGTGGTGTGTGTGGTCCTCAGGTTTAACTAACAACCCTGTGAAGTAGGTTAGGCTGAGATGCAATTTGCCTAAGTCACCCAGTGAAGCTTCATGGTAGGATTTGAACTTGGATTTGAACCAATTGTAGACCAGAATGCTCTCACCACTCCAGCACACTGGCTTTTTAGCTACCTTTACATACCCTGCTAGAGGGACGCGGGTGGCGCTGTGGGTTAAACCACAGAGCCTAGGACTTGCCGATCAGAAGGTCGGCGGTTCGAATCCAGGGTGAGCTCCTGTTGCTCGGTCCCTGCTCCTGCCAACCTAGCAGTTCAAAAGCACGTCAAAGTGCAAGTAGATAAAAAGGTAAACGGCGTTTCTGTGCGCTGCTCTGGTTCGCCAGAAGCGGCTTAGTCATGCTGGCCACATGACACGGAAGCTGTATGCCTCAGCCAATAAAGCGAGATGAGTGCCGCAACCCCAGAGTTGGTCACGACTGGACCTAAGGGTCAGGGGTCCCTTTACCATTACCTTTTTACATACCCTCCTAGCCCTCAAAGGGATTGGGTATGGTTATTAAGGTTTTTCTTGTTGGAAGTTCAACTCCTATATGATTCAGAAGACCCAGAATAGTCCTGCTTTAAAGACTATGGAAGTGCCCCGAGCAGTTTTATTGTGCAGCCTTTTGAGGTTATATGTGTTATGACAAAATGGATACGTGGGAATGAATGCCTCACGTACAGTTATTTACACAGCTGAGATAGTGCTTAAAACTTGAGAATGGAGATACTTTCACATGCCCCTCCCGCCATGCAGGGATAAGGATGTAAACTAAAAATGCAGAGCATGTTGTTCTTTGTATGTGCTAATTGCATTTGCATGTATTTGCTACATAGGGAGCTTCTTTACACTGTGTTAGACCATTGATCCATCCAGTGCCGTAGTGTGGGGGGGAGGCCACAGGGGCGCAAAATTGTTAGGGGCGCAAAATTTCAACACCCGGTGCTGCCTCAATACAGCTGTATGCTTCCATTACTGGGCTCCCCGTACAAACCAGGAAGTGACCTCTCCAGACAATGGAACGACTCTTCTTTTCTTATCTCTGCGGCTGCAATCTCCTGGGTGACACAGACGCTGTTAGGCAATTGAATGCACATGCATACTCCGTCCGTTTCCCTCCCACCCAGACCTGCCACGCGGCCCTAAACACTGGTAACCCATGCTACACCACTGGGTCCATCTGGGTCAGAATTGCCAGGGGGTAGGGAACCTTTATTGCTCAGTGGGCCAGACCTTTATCTCTCCCTCCTCAGGCAAACTCTGCCAGGTGAGCGTGGTTTGGGGGAAATGATGTCACAGGCCAACTTGGACTCCCTGGTGAGCCATGATTGACCTGTGGGTCAACTAACTGGCAGACACTGTCCAGGATTTCTGGTAAGGGAGAGTCTTTCCCAGCCCTACCCTTTAGATTCTAGGGATTGAACCTCTGACCTTCTGCAAGCAAACCAAATTCTCTACTGCTGAGCTATAGCCCCTTCCCCATAGTCACATAAGTGAATTGCACACCTTTCCCCCACCCACATGTAATAAAAGCACATGTGAAACAGCCTTTGCTATAGCAATTAAAAAAACAAAAACGATTCTGTAAACATGTTTTGTTAACTCTCTACACTGCAAGTGTGCAGCTGCTAATTTTATGGGCTGCATTTTGCCTTCATTTTCTTGATTCCACTATTCTGTTGACTAGGAAAGATGGTCAGGACTTGAGTGGCTCAAATTTAATGTGGTACTGTGAGATTTGTTTAGAATCTCAGGAGAGCATGTTTGAAAGAATGGCTAATTCAACTGTTGGTGCTCTATATTGGGCAGAAAGCACACACTCCCCTATTGGGTCTTATGGGAAATTATGACATTTCTTTTTAATTTTTAATTATCTAGCTTAATAATGGACCTGCCTTTATTATTTTTTTAACATACAATGTGTATGTCCATTTATGTTTTGTGTAGTACATAAAGGGCTATGTAAACTGAATGTAGCAAATTACATGTACTGTTGAATCACTTTTAAAGCTATTAACTCTGTTTAATGAAATGAATATTTGTTTTGTTTTGTTTCTGTTAAGCCAGTTGGTTTTGAAATGCAATGGAAGTAACATTGAATGATTTCTCCAAGCTCCACTCATTATTGTTGTTGTTGTTATTGTTTTTTCAGTAAAACATAATAATCTATGCTTTGTGTTGTGTTTATTCCTGTAGGCATTTATTTGCCCAGCTAAATACTCCTATGTTACAAAGACTTTTTTCTTTCGTTGCTGTTTTCTGCTACACTTTAACAAGACAGAAGGAGGACAAAAGGTTAGAAAGGACTCGTTTCTTTCCCGTAGATTTCCTAAATTAGGCTGCAGTACTTACGCCTCTAACTCTGGAGTAAACCCCATTGAATTCAATGGGACTTAACTTCCAGGCAGACATAGTTCAGGTTGCCCACAGGTGACACATTGGGGCAGTGCATCTGGCTGTTAACCAAAAGGTTGGTGGTTCGAGCCCACTGAGGGACAGCTGTGAGCATTGCAGGGGGTTGGTCTAGATGACCCTTGGGGGGCCCTTCCAACTCCACAATTCTATAATTCTAAAAGTTACACAACTAACGCACAAAATAATAGGTAGCTGCCTTGGTCGATTGAAGGGGAAGCGCAAAATCCAAAGTACAGCATGCCTTTATTAAGGTCAGACAAAATGACACAAAATAAGCAGCAATCATTTGAGTTCTTGAAAAGTCTCCTTTATGCAGCATATTAAGCAAAACAGTGGGGTGGGGGGAAGACAAAATTGGCATGATGTTAAAAGTCACCGAAGCCTGCAGTTTGAAGGAACACTATGCCTGCCACTAAGTATATTGGAATGTGCCTCTAAGGTTGCAATGCTAAGTATGCTTACAAGAAAGTGTTTGCTCCTACGTGAACTTGTTTAGGATTGAACTGCATGCTAGCCTTTATCAAAAAATGATACACTACAGCAAAGGGATAAACATTAAATTTTTTTAAAGGAAAAAAAAAGCTGGTGAACAGAGCTCTTTACCTTCAACCATGTAGTGTTATGTGGTTAGATATTTTCGTTAAGTCACAAATGAACAGCAATTCAGCCATTAAGAATTTTTATTTATTTACTTATTTTACTGTGGAATGGCTTTGCTGTCTAAATTCAATGTTGTTGTTTTTTGTTTGTTTTAAATGTGGTTTCCTCCACAATTAACAAAGCAGGATTCAGTATTGACTATGCGTATTTGGGGTGCAAAGGCTTTCAGTGAGCAGCCACTGCTGCCCTAATGCAGAGAGCTCCATGTGCGCTTCAGTGTGCATATGAAGTTCCTGCACATACGCCATTCTGTTTATTCCACATGTGGGAGCATCTGCCAAGATGAATGGGGCCCTGTGCAAGTGGTAGAGCTCCCACATTGGTAGCAAAAAAATCAGAGCAACACTTACAATTATCTTTATGAAACGTAAGACTTTCACCTGTGGCATACCATCCAATTTCTATTCCTGTTTATTCAACCATTGCACAGATTACTGTACACCAACACATTTCATCGCAATAATGTGAAGCTCCACTAGAGGGCACTGCTGTGCAAATTGCAATGGTGGTGACCCTAGCATTTTCTCTGAAATAGTTGCTGGATTATAGAATTATAGAATAGTAGTTGGAAGGGACCACAGTAAGGTTGCTATGCGTCTGGACATAGCCAGAATACAGCAGTCGGAACCAGTGTCTGGGCGGAAATAGCTGGAATGTCCGGTTAAATCTGGACCCATGTCAGAAGTCTTGATTTTGGCAAAGTTCCTAAAAAATAACTCAAAACTTTTTTTCTTTTTCTTTTTTGAGATTTTGCTAGTGCTTTAGGACAGGGGTAGGCAACCTAAGGCCCGGGGGCCGGATGCGGTCCAATCGCCTTCTCAATCCAGCCTGCAGACGGTCCAGGAATCAGCGTGTTTTTACATGACAAGAATGTGTCCTTTTATTTAAAATGCATCTCTGGGTTATTTGTGGGGCCTGCCTAGTGTTTTTACATGAGTAGAATGTACAGTGGTACCTCGCAAGATGAATGCCTCGCAAGACGAAAAACGCGCAAGACGAAAGAGATTTTCATTTTTTGAGTTGCTTCGCAAGACGAATTTCCCTATGGGCTTGCTTCGCAAGACGAAAAACGAAAACGTCTTGCAAGTTTGTTTCCTTTTTCTTAAAACTGTTAATACCCTATGGGAAACTGTGCTTCGCAAGACGAAAAATTCGCAAGACGAAAAAACTCGCAGAGCGAATTAATTTCGTCTTGCGAGGCACCACTGTATCCTTTTATTTAAAATGCATCTCTGGGTTATTTGTGGGGCACAGGAATTCGTTTTTTTTTTGCTTTTGTTTTTTGCCAAAATAGTCCAGCCCACCACATGGTCTGAGGGACGGTGGACCAGCCCACAGCTGAAAAAGGTTGCTGACCCCTGTTCTTGACTGATAGGGCACGTGTGACAGGACCCCTGGTCTACCCAGTGGCGTAGCGTGGGTTGTCAGCACCCGGGGCAAGGCAAGTAATTTGCGCCCCCTAACCCGTGGATTTTAGTAGGGGCAGAGAGCTGCGAGTGCGAGTGCGCCCCCCCCAGATATTGCGCCCAGTGCGGCCGGCCCCCCCTGCACCCCCCACGCTACGCCACTGGGTCTACCTGGTGCTCAGAGGCATGACTGCATGCAGCTCATTGCGATGGAAGTGCTGAGTGCATGCAGGGTTGTCCTGTTAATTGGGACAGATAGACAGGTCACGCCCTGCTTCCTCAGTGTCATTCAGTAATCTTTTTTAAGTAAAAAAAAAATGGGCTAGGGTTGGTGTTCCTCCCATACACTTGCCTTAGAATCCAAATAACAGACTTTCAGAAACTAAAAAAGGTAAAGGACCCCTGGACAGTTAAGTCCAGTCGCAAACGACTCTGGGGTTGCGGTGCTCATCTCGCTTTACTGGCCGAGGGAGCTGACGTTTGTCCGCAGACAGTTTTTCCGGGTCATGTGGCCAGCATGACTAAGCCGCTTCTGGCAAAACCAGAGCAGGGCACGGAAACACCATTTACCTTCCTGCCACAGTGATATCTATTTATCTACTTGCACTGGCGTGCTTTTGAACTGCTAGGTTGGCAAGAGCTGGGATTGAGCAACAGGAAGTCATCTTGTTGCGGGGATTCAAACCACTGACCTTCCGACCAGCAAGCCCAAGACCCAGTGGTTTACATCACAGTGCCACCCACGACCCCAGTGATATATATACCAGTATATATATAGAGAGAGGCAGCAAGTGAGAGCATAGTGTAGTTTTAGCTTTTTCAGTAGAAGTCCAAAGGGTGCCCACTCTATATAGGTGAGAAACAGCTGGAAAAGTCCTGCCCACAACTCCTGTTTTTTTTAACAAGGCAAGTTACATATATGCAATTAGGGAACTAATTGCATACATTGTAGCATTGTTATATGTATTATATATAATGATGGTTGAACAGCTTTTCATGTTCAAAGGACTAAATCCCAGTTTCCATTTGTTCCTTGTTAATTATAATTTCTATTAAATTCTTTAGTTAGCCCAAGACGACATCTTTATTCTAAAAGGAGCTGTGAGCATTGATTTCCTGTAGGTGCTACAAAGCACAGTTGTTAAGTTTTTAATTCAGCTCTAAGCTATTTGAGTGTATGTGTGTACTGTACTTGCAATTTTGAGGCTACTCTTTTGTAAGCAGTTCCTTAAAATCCAAGGTATTCAATCAACACAGAAAGAAAGGCAGAAATTATCCAACAAGCATGTATAAAACCAGAAGTTTGCCAAGGGTTCCTTTTTCAAAACAAAGTTACTCAATAATTTCATGCTAATAGGGCAACAGCAGAAAGGTTATGAAAAAGGCAGTGTTGGGGAACGCTGCCAGGACTTCTTAAAAAACAAACCCATAAGCTGCCACCTTCTGCTGCCCTGGAGAGATTATACCGCATGGTGGAAAACAGGCTCTTCGAATACAACCTTCATCAATTTATCCTTCAGCAGTATCTCCCCTTATCCTAGCGTACAAGGAGTTTACATTAGAGTGGTCCACACAACCTCCTTACGTGCGCATGGGATGAACAGAATTGCACCTGCAGCCAGCATGTTTGATGCGTGTGTGAAGGGGACAGGTCTGCATGATGACTGATCCTGAACTCTCCCAGGATTCCCACTCGTGTCAAGGATTCCTTCTGTGTGCAATTGTACACTTGCATGGCCCTTTCACACTGGTGCCAAGCATGCAGGCCGTCATGTGCAGGGCCGATGTGCATGTTGGTGCTTGGGGGAAGGGCCAGTAGTAAGTGCATTCCCACTCCCACATCACATACATGAACAGGTGAGTTTGGGTGGGGTGTGTGTGTGTGTGAACCTCCATATAGTTTCTTAAAGTGGTAGGAACAAGCCACAAGCACAGTGGACACTCGGGTTGCGAACGTGATCCGTGCGGGATGCACGTTCGCAACCCGCAACATTCGCACCCCGTGTCTGCACATGGGCGGGTTGCAATTCGGCGCTTCTGCGCATGCACAAAGCGCGATTTGGCGCTTTTGCGCATTTGCGACCGCCGAAACCCAGAAGCAACCCGTTCTGGTACTTCCGGGTTTCAGCAGTCCACAACCCGAAAAAATGCAACCTGAAGCGGCTGTAACATGAGGTATGACTGTACTGTACTTTTCCGTGTATAAGACAAGGGGTTTTTTTACTTTAAAATAAAGTTAAAAATCTGGGGGCATCTTAAACATGGATAGTGCATATGCCCATTTTCTAAATTTGGGGTCCCTAAAAGTAGGGGGCGTCTTATACACGGAAAAATACGGTAAGTCGAGAACCTTGGAATATAAACAATGCAATGCAAACACTGAAAGCCAGCAGTTTTTCAAGTACAGGGGGAAACACAAGTTCTCTTTCATGCTATAACTGGCACTTATTCATTTTGTTCTTTGATGTTCATGGGGCAGGGGCAGGAGAGAGAGAAAAGGTAACTGAAGTCATTCCTGCATGAAACTCAAGAGTTGCCATATACTTGGTTCTGAGGAGAGATCTCTTTGAGAATTTCTGTCCCCCTTTTGCTCAGAAAGTAATCAAGCTAGAGCAGAAAGTGTATAATAAGCCATTCCATCTTGTTGATTCAGTTTCCTATATTCTCACTGCAGACAGAAGGGGCTACCAGTTCTAGCAAATATTCCGCCAAAGGAGATTGCAGGTAGCCCAGAGCTACTTTAGGATAGACAAATTATTCAAGCAAGCACATACAGTTCAGGGCTGCCACTGTGTTTTTGGCAGAGAGAAAAACCTTGTTCAAAAATATCTAATTAAAGCGGCCAAGTACCACCTGAACAATTTTATCTGAAGAAGTGTGCATGTACACGAAAGCTTATACCAAGAACTAACTTAGTTGGTCTCTAAGGTGCTACTGGACAATATATTGCATTTTATCTTCGTTTTTGTTGTAGCCTGGTTCAGGCTAAAACAGGGGTCAGCAACCTTACCATGCCT